AATTTCTTCCTCGCACCCACTCGTAAAGCACCTCCGTCTTTGTTTGCACTAAGACCTCCCATCGATTCGTTGTGATTGTTTACTCCAACCAACTGTCCACGTGCCACCCACCTTCGATTCTGACTTTTTTTTTTCACATAGCGCTGTAAGTTGTTTGGGCCTTAGTGTCTATCTGCGAACTGTGCTGTTCTCTGGAAGCGGTCAGATTTTAGGTAACGCTCATCACGACACTCGTAGTTCGCTATGCCGATGAATTTAAGCAGGGCCCTGTAGCACAATCCAGGGCTTGTGAACGCGTTTCTACTTGAATCACCCCACCAACGACCGTTTTCATTCGAGACCGCGGAAGTAATTGTCCCGGCTCCGTTGACGTCTTATCGGGGTTACAATGACCTGCTGGTCACGCGAACTGTGCCCCGAATCAGCGCCCCTCAACTCACAAGGTCTCTTGGTCTCAGGCGATTTGTAGAGCAATTTGGTAACGAAATTTTCCAAGGAATTTTCAGCGTCACCCCAAAGTGAACCCCCTGTAGTGTGCAATGACTACATTGGCCGAGTTGTGTATTGAACAACTCGATGTTGTTCCCGTTTTGTGATACCCGTGCACATCCAGGGGCTCAGAGACACTCGAACGCGTGTTGTTCAGTGGCGGAGAGGGGGCCCCATGATTGGCGTTTAGACTTGAAGTCGGAATGTCCCCCCGCCCTCCACCCCTTCTTGGACAGACAGACGACAGCCTCAATTCGGGTTAGTTTGGTTCTAACAACGTTTAGGCTGCGTGTACTTCGGACCACCTCGTTCCGATTTCCGCCTAACTCACGCACATGTCGCACGACAGACTGTCTGTAGATTTGCGGTCCAGAATGAGGGTCAAAATGGCCTGTAGTTTGGGTTTTTTTCAATTTAAATCACTGGGACTCTTATTTCAAGCGACCTAAAGTATATTGCTTGTACTTTTTACCAAAACGTTCATAGGGCTTTATCAAATCGATCACCGACGCGTCAAATGACTTGTCATACGATGGATTGTCACATTATTGCACTTTTTGTGATAACTCCACGCTTGTCGGCTCGTGTTCGTGATCACATGAGATGTGCTAGAGTAACTCACGAGTGCTCCTCTTGCCTAGGGAGTGAATACGAAGTCGTGTATTTTCGTGTGACCCTCCGATTGGCTCAATTCTGCTGCTTTGTGTGCTTTCAAGGTTGTTGGGAGTCACAGACAAACGCAGAAGCCCATGGTAACATGGGGGAAGGCTCAGACGTTGGGACTTCGCGGACAGACGGGGGTGGGGTTGTGAATAGACGCACGGATTACTGGAAAGAGCTGATTTGCCAAGCTGTCCAGACATGTATCGACAGATGTGGCGGAGGTATATTAGCTCGATTCACTGCATCACCGTCATCTTTGTTGTGGAACAGCTGCTTCACAAAAACTACGTGACTGTGGTTAAGCCTTCGTGCTGCCAGATGGTAAAAGAGGCGAATTTAACGGTGGACAACATCAACTGTTAGACACCATCTTCCTGATTGTTCCGTAGCAGTTTCTACAACTTAATTTAAGTCGCTGTATGAATTGGACGATCGATCGCCATCTTCTGGGGCTTCCACACAAAATTGTGTCCATTGAATCCCTCGTAAGCGTCTTTGATACTCCGTCGAGAGTGTTCCTGTCATTCAAGACGAATCTACCACCTCAGCAACGGCGACGCCACGAACCTGGCTTGCTTTTCGGCTCACCTTTCGTCTCGACGTTGTTCTTCTACCTCGCTTTGCCTTGTAGATCGAGAAGCGGAACAGCATGGAGGGTGTTGATCTGCCCCAGCTTCTGATTCAACTGCGTCAATGCCGAATGGGCATCATTTCAACAGCCCAGCAACTCCGCTACTCCTACGTGGCCATCGTGGAAGGTGGCAAGCTCCTTCTTTCGACGCCGCCCGAGGAACGACCTGCTCTTGTGGTATGCGTGTGGCTGTAAAGTTTTTTTTCAACACCTCACATTGAGCGCTCTTTCAACTAACGCGTTCCAAACTGCGAAGCTTCCTGCCTTGTGAGTTCGCGCATGTTTGACTGGTTTAGAATGCCACATTGACGCAAATAACTCCCTTGGCGTGTGTGGTGCGGTGGGACAATTGTTAGTTGGCCGGCTGCCTAGTCGAATCAGACCTCGGGTCAAGTCGCAAATTCACGAAAAAGCTACCTCTGTCGCATCATTCCGGCACCACACGCTACTAACCGCACACCGATCTCTGGCTGTAAAACAGGGTCACGTCTAGTGTGCTGAAACGAGTGTCCTGACGAGGGGTTTGCGTCGAAGCAGTGAATGTCAGAGGTCGTTTTTCGCTTCAAGTAGCTCACATCATTACTTCCAATTTTTCCGGTCGGTTCTTGGTTTGATCACCACAAGCACCACCACCACCCCCGCTACCACCGCGACGAACCAAAAGCAGTCGGGAATAAATCACAGTTGGTTTTTGGCGTTCAAAGCGTGTCTATTTGTAAACACCTAAGTCACCCTACTTGTAGCCACGTCACTCATTTTACTTGGCATTTTTTCCCAACCATCAGCCGAAGGAACCTCATTTCGCCCACACAAACACTCATCTCCTTTTTTTACTGCCCTCAATGTAAACAACCGCGAAGCGATTAATCTCTGCTTTCTCTTTCTCCTTTACCCCTGTGGTCCGTCTTACGTAAATTACATCTTTTAATACGCCAATGTCGAACTTTTTAGCTGTAATCTATCATCTACCAGCCTCGTTGTGTCCTAAGTCTGCTTAATGTCGCTTGTTTCCGGTGTTTGTGCGTGTGTTTGTGGCTTAGAAAAACGGCGGACATCCCCTTCTCCCGATTATTGTGTTGGTAACCAGGTGTACGGTCGTCCTTGCGTATCCGGTGGTAGTCCCGCGGTTAGTTTTCCCCCACGGTAGGGTGAATTCTCGAAAACACGGCGCAAAACCGATTGAAATTTCCTCATTTATACCGGTAGTACCTCCAAGATCGATTTGCGTTTGGAGGTAGGTCATATCCGTCCATCAGGCCTAAATTCCTTGTTTACATTTCCACTTTTTTCCGTGGCTTCGAAGGGTGAGAAGGAAGGACAGCGCTTGGTGTTATAGCTGACCCTGTTTGGTATCAGTCGATTTTCTTGTTACCTAGTTCCCGGAGCATGGCAAGGTCTGTTCAGGCGACGGCGACGACACGTCAGACAGTGATGACGAGGCCGACGGTGAAGCCGAGGACGAGGTGGAGTTGGACATTCAGGACGACGAGCGAGAGATCCTGAAGCACCTGCGCCTGCGCGCGGCTGCTCGAGGCGTATCTTTTCAGCCGAACTACCTCTTTGCCGTGGACTCGTCGTCCTCGTCCACGGAAGACGACGATGAGGTGGAACTTGTGGAACTGCTGAACCAGCGTCACCGGAAGCCACACCACCTGCACAACCCACACCGCGGCCACCAAGTTGGCACGGCCGAATTCGAGGAGGTGCACGACTCGGGAGTCGAAGAAAGGTGCGTGGGACGCGAGTTCACATCTCTTGTCTCGCATAAAAGCAAACACTTTTTTTGGAAAAATGTTTTGGTAGCGCTTTTGACCATCAAAATCTCCACCTCCCTAAGCTGATTGCTTGCCTGTCGATTAAACAATCAAGTCGGAAGAGCATCGCGCCTCTAAGCGCGTTCTGTCTTGCTCCCACTTTCACAAAGCGAGATGATTTGAATTTGGCGCGGCAACATTTGCGTCACGTGATTGGTTGGCAAGTTTCGGTCGTTCAAGAGGCATCACAGAATTTTCTGCAGTTTGGTCTAATTTGCGTCACCGCACACACGTCTCAAGTAACCCCGAGATGTGCCCTCTACCTCAGCACGCAAATTTTGAATCAAGTTATTTCACTGTCATGTTTGGATCGTTTGTTCCCATGATCGCGATTAATGTATCACTGCTACCACCGTCTCCTTCTCCTCGTCCCCCCTAATGATTCACCCGGGGTGTTCGCTTATCTGAGGTACATGCGATTCCATCTGTCTCGTCTTTTTGGATGTCCCAGAGTGAGTGCAAGGCGTGCGTCTTCCCTCTTCCACAACACATGTTGCCAGAGACGCCCGATTTCTAAATCGTCGCGTTTTCAGGGGCTGCTAGTTCGAATCGGTGAGCTTGGCGTGAGCTTCTATGTCAACTGCAGCCGTCCACACAGAGTCGCCTTTTTTGGAGCCAAATCGGTACATACCTAAACTGTAACTTAATCACTTGTGTATTCTCCGTCGTTGGTTCCAATAGCCAACATGGTTTTAACGCTTCTATGACAAAAACGCCCAGATCCATATCGGCATTAATGATTAGAGCAGCTGACAATCCAATTGGACCAAATTTGGCCGTCGTTCTGAAGGGTCGATCTTAGTTCCTGTTAATGAAGGTGATTTCCTCGTTATTCCATCGTGGTTGAATTCTAGTGACGAGGTGAAACGGTTATTGGTGGATTCTGTGTTTACGTAATTCGAAACAGGGGTGGCGCCAGTAGAATTTTCGTTGTTGTTGTTGCTGTTGTTGCCTGCGTGCGAGGCTATCCCTGCTCTAACACCCTGACGCACCACGCGTACCGCCGTTTTCCCCTTGGGTGCAAACCCGGCGCCGGCTTTTTGTCAGCCTGCACGAAAAAGATCTTGACGGGGGGGGGAATTGACTTGACTGTTGCTGGTCCCTTTTTTTTTTCAACCAAATCCACCAGGGCGCCTTGGCGTTGACTCCGTGGAGTAGACGTTGTGATCGTGGATTCGCTGTGTCGAGCCGGGCGTGTTTTTCGGCGTGTGTATCCACTTTCTTCCAAGCGTAAAAAACGAAGCCGTAGACACGGAAAAATCGCCAAATCTTAAAACCGTGGATTTAGTAGAACTAATTCGATTGGCTATTGGAAACTCCCTTCAACCAATCAGCTGTCGACCTCAGCAATGGTCCGGAATCCGTGAATACAAAAGAAAAAAAACATTCAGTTGTCCAAACCATACTTACTAAACAGGGTAAATGGGACAAAATCGTTTTTATGCAACGAAATCTTTGGTCCTAAGGAGTGCTAATAACCCAAAGTTAACGCGTGTCTCGGAAGCTAGTCGCATTGCTAGCCATATCTGGCGTCTACGATGAAACATTTCCTAGCTTCTGGCTCGTAGCAAGAGTAAAATTACCTGTCTTTATTTTATCATCTCTTTAAATTCTGAAAGGCTGAGTCTTCACGACCCGTGGCTGGCTACGCCTCCAAATTAATTTGTAGAAAAATGGTTTTATTTGAGAAAAAAAAACCAAAGAAACGTGATTTACCGTTGTTGTGAATTAGTTTGATCGAAGTAGTTTAGGTGCTATCTAAACGTAGACTGTGGTTATTCACTACCTACACGACTCGTTACCTTGCCGACGAGGCAAATAAATCGCTATTGCCAAAACAGATTTCACACTATCCGAAATTTCCAAACTCTTGAGGCTATCGTACCAATAAAAAATTCCTTCTCCTGAGGGTTGGCATTACGGTCTCCAAGCATGCCCAGACATCCGAAATTTCATTGGACGCTGTTCACACTCCCCTTTTCTGCTCCCATTGGTTCAAAGTACTTCTTCGACGAGTTCTTTACAAGTATGCCTAATCTAGGAAATTTTGGGCTTCTCAACGTGCGATTTTCTTACGATTTGGCTAAACGAAAATGAACTGAAAAGGGTAAAAGCGTGTCGAGCGCCTCCTGACGCTGTGTTGTTCGTTTAAGTTCGCTGAATTCCCCTATCACATCCACCCTTCTGGCAGTGCAGGGTTACGTGTAATCATTTCACCCCTGAGCTCCACAACAAATTAGTTAAGTTGATGGTGTTAGACACCATCTGTGGTGGTGGCAAGTGCCAATGACGTGGATTTTGCTGTCAATTTATCCCGACATTTGCCTGACAATATGCCTGTTTACGTTTCAGACCACTTGCCGCGGCTTCCTGTCATACTTTGTACTTTCTAATACAACACCACAAGCAAGCTTTCCTCTCTTTTTGGCCCCACACACGATCGCCTAACTCTCTCTGCCTTAGCTAACAACTGTCCGCACCAACCCTATGAACGTCTTGTTTTGTTTTGACACCTCCACAAGCCCCGACTAGCGCGCAGGTGGTGTCCCGACTTCTCTGCTGTTATTTGTCAAATCGTGGCTTGCTTGCGCAGCTACCCTGAACTAGAGAGGTATTCGCAGTTTGAGCTAAATCGGGCTAATTCACTTGGCGTAACAATGTAGCAAGTGTTTCATCCGCTTTCTCGCGCATTTAACCCCTCGTCATTTTAGCTGAATGCGTCATCTGCTTTGGGTTCTGTGAGGTTTAAGTTGATTGCTAAGTCTACTTTTGCCAGAAGACGGTAAGTTTTGTGTGGCTTCACTTGTTGTCTTGTCCATCGTACTCAGCTCGACAATGCCTGTCGGTTCGCCACCAGCGGAGAGCAACACGAACCCCGAGGTGACGGAGAACACTTCCACGGTTTCGCCGAACGAGCCAGCGCTGCCGCCGTCGCTGGACGCTGAGCCTTCAGCTGAAGGCGACTCCGACGACGGCAGCGACGGCGAGGACGGGACCTCGGATGAGGCGGAGGAGGAGGAGGCCGAGGCGGTGCACCTGCAAGCCGCGGCGCTGGAGGCGATTCGTCAGCGTCACGAGGCGCGCCTCGCCCGCCAAGCACAGACGCGCGCCCGGCTAGCGGAGATTTCGGCGCGAATGCAGGCCAAGGACATGCTGCGTCGTCGGTGGATCCCCATGCGCATCGCCTACCCCCTTCGACGCTGGTTTGTCCAGTCGGGCCACTTCAACAACCTCACCGAGGCCACTCTCTTCAGCCTCGGCGTGTTTTCACTCCTCGTTGCTCTGGCTGTTGGTCTGTGGTGGCAACGCATGTGAGATGCCGCCAACACCGTCACCCTACGTCCAAACTGTGATTTGATTGCTTTTATTCTTACTGTATAAATCCTCACACACAACTCGTCTCCACTCTCGCCCTGTCTGTATAAATATGCACTTTAATTCAGCTGACTAAACCTCGCATTGTGCCTTTATTATCCACTTACCCTGTTGCCTGATAATATATACGATATGTTGGCAATCCTTGATGTTCTATTTAGGGCTGGTCTACCAATAAAAAGCGTCGGTTTTGGTGAAGGTACATATGTGTGTAAACATGTGGCATGTACCTTTTTTCTTGTGGGGAGCCGTGGTCGCAATATGCACAGGTTGGAAGACACTGTGAGGCCTAGAATAGTTGGGTTTTGTAAGTGTCAAATTAAAGGTTGGTGTTTACGTTGCAGTGAGTCATGTTGATTTGCGTCCTTGTAACTCTGTCGCGACGAATTGTCAGGCTAGATGCCTTCCCATTATCGATCTTGCGGAACCGTCTGTTCATGCGCTGTCCCCACCCACTCATCCGACCATTTGTGCATTCAGCAAAAAGAGGCACCCTCTTCGGATGTGTTTGACACCTATTCAACAAAATTTTTCCCATGATGGGTTTCTTTTTCGAATAAATAATGCCAAACGAACGGTCGACTCGACAGAACTATGCCGTGGCCACGTGGGTCCTGGTTGTGGTCGCTGGCACGTTCTGAATGTGTCATCGATTTAAAATTTAGACTAACCTCAAATACCGATGCAAAGTCTCCGTTGAAATTGACGAAGCTACTTTACGAGAAACACCAAACCAACTGCGTTGCTAGGCGTCCGTCATTTGTTGGCGTCATCAAATGCATCTTTAGACGGCGTACACGTGTCTACCGTTGTTGTGAGTGCAGGCAGATTTTGAATATGCAGGCAGTTTGATAGGCCGGACAGCAGGAAACTACGACGCCTGTGTTTTTGTACCAGAGTAATTCACTGCATTGTGCAGCCACGCACACGTGACCATTTAAAGGGGCGTGGCAGAGCCACGTGCGATGCCCACGCATCGATTGCGCCCAAAGGCTTGCTGGAAGTCCTCCCACAAGCACCCATGAAGTCCAGCTTCGAGGATCCTTGTGTTCGGTACGTTCGCGTCCCCTAACCCTGACGGTACCTTGGTAACGGCATTTACCTTCCCGGGCGTCGTTTTTTTGTCATGGTAACGAAATTTTCGTTTCTAAATTGGTGTCAAATATCTCCATGTTTTCACGGTCCTCGCATGCTACGGCACATTTGAGTACAATTCACTCAAAAAATGTGAGCATGACTCACTCGCATCGCACCAGTCTACTCCCAGAAAAATCGATAATTATTATTGGGCAAAGAACCCTTCGAATGGCTGATCGGTAGGCGTGGTTTTTTTGAAGCGGCGAGCAGCTAGAATACGCAGACCGATCGTGGTTTATTTTGGCACGCGGCGTTGCCGTCGTTTCAGCCTGACTGCGCGCTGTTTACGCGCATCCAAAATGCAATCTACTAATCTCACCACAAGCATCTAATGCCAAGCAAATGCGGCTTTAATCATAGTGCATAAATGATTGCAAAAGTGTTAGTATTTGTCGAAATTTTCCAAGAAAAATCCACTTAATCAACCCAACTATTGCGTTAAAGAAGCGCCAATCACTGAAGTCACTACTTTCGCTCGACGGCCTGCTTTGACTTGTAATTTTTTTAGCTAAATATTCTCGTTATTACCACTGATTGATCAAGTCAAAGTTTCTTAAATAATATATTTTATTTCTTGAACTCGAAATGTGTGCCTGTATCATGACTCGTGCACCGGTTGGATAAACTTAGCAACTGAGGGATATGTTGTCTTGATTCACTATTAGTTTCAATGACGAATTCGGTCTGTTCACGAAATCTATGCGTTACCTAGATCTTCGACCTGTGCTGTCGACATTCCTTGTGCATATTGTGTATACAACGCTTAAAAGTGCAGCTGTTGTATGCATGCGATGGATTTAATCACTTGTTACTTGAATTCTTTAATGGCCAAGCCAAAAGGTGAACGTAATGTTTATTATCAAAACCTTTACACACATTTTTAAATCTGGCGGTGACACCTTAACTCGACTGTGATTGGTTCGTCACGAAGTGTTTCTTCATGAATAAGCTGTTTGCCGTATTATGGCAATGCACAGAGGGCTTGCGGACGTTGACTGTTTTTTTTAATCGAATCTAAAGGTTGGCTCATTACGGCGACATCACTGAGCACAACTCAAATCCAGTAACATTCGACGGTGCCAGTCATGGAACCACGAGGGCCTATAGTTCAGGGGCTTCGCACTACCACATCTACGATTTGGAACGCCAGCGGACACGCTTGATTCACAAGCAGACCCTCAGCCACATGAAGGCCACCCTTGGTATGACCCCCGGTGACGCGATGGAACGCATTAAGACAAGTCTCTCAGCGGCCACGAGCCCACTTGACCGAAATGTGCGCCGTCTCGCGCCCAAATCCATTTCCTCTGGACAGAGTGACTCATCTTCGCACCTGCCATCTACTGCAATGTCTGCGCACTTGGGAGAAAAGCACCATCGACAAGGCAGGCTTCCTCAAAATAAGCAGGGATATGTTTTTTCCCCATAAATCTGGGTTTGGTAATTGCTGTCGTTGCGGTAGACTGAACGGTTTTAAACTTGGCGGTATTAAACATTTCAGCTTACTTAAACAAGCGATTAAATCGAATGCATCGAATTTATGCGTTACCTCGGGTTTTCTTCATCTCGTAGGTACACGTCTCCAGAGATTTGTTATTCGTCCGCGCGAACACCCACTTGTAAAGGTAAGCCCACGACAGTTGCAGCAGAAAACATGCCACCTGAAAAAGTTAAAAGTGCAACCACATGAAAAAAATTACGAAAGAACCAATCGGGACGGCAAATATGGCCGTAATACAAATTCATAACTGAACAACCTCCAATTTGACCATGTCTCAAAACATGACTACTGATAAAATGCCAGTAATATTTATTTTACGAATTGTTTTTATTCTAAATGTGCAGATTGAAGCTCAGCGGAGCGAGGGTAATAGCCTTAAGGAGTCAGAAAGCGCTCCATTAGCAGCCGACACGACCTCCCAATGTGGACGTTCAACCACACCCATTCGTAGAGCCTCAAACAACAGCAAAGTCACTCGTGGAGTAACCCTTTTCCCTTCGCTGCTCAAAGCCGTGAACCCTCAGGGGGCTACTGAGCGCTACGAATCCGGTGATGACCACTGCACCCTTAGTTTGACGACCTCGAATATCTCTGGAATGTTCCAAAGAGGGTGAGGATGATATTTCAGCTTCTTTATACTGAAAAAACATGTTAAAACAGCCAATTATGGTTGGAGCGGACCTCATTGGTTGATTCTCTGGATGACATCGATTAGTGCATTTGCTGTACTTTAGCTCGCAGACCTCGACATGTTCACTGCCAAGAGATTTTCCCTCCTGCCTAAGCACAGCCATGGAAAGTGGCAGCTACCTAGGCCAGTCCACACCAAGGGATTGCACTGACGGTAACTACCAATCACACGTGTACCCCGCAGCCAATCAGCTGCCGGATCACCTTGACGTCACCAAAACCTCCCCTATCGAGGTCTCGGACATGCTTTCGCCAGCTGTCAATACAAATTCTTGTACAGGGAGTATGTTGGAGTATCCACACAAGCAGCATGCGGTGTGTAGCAAGACGGTGGTTGTGATTGACGACACGGCAACGGGAGTTGGCGGAGCCAATCACGTGACGGCTGCCAATGGCATCACCGGTTCAGACGCCACACCCAGACAGAGCGCGTACAAGGAACCAAACGGGCCCAACGTACACAGGAAGGTGAGTCTGATGTCTATTAACCTCCTGGTGTTCTCTGATATACTGACGTAGACGCTTGGTCAATTCCTCTCAACGTGAGAACTGGTGATGCTCTTTGATAAGCGTTTCCAATAGTAACGGTAACTAAAACAAGAAATTGTTAGAGGAGATCTGGCTTTTGAGATGCCCACAAGGCGAATTAAACTTGTTGGCTTCTTATTGATCGATATTTCATGCAACAAACGACGTGATTGGCGTTTTGAAAAACTAGGTCCACCTCGCGATCCTGGTTCACCCTACAGCGACGCCCTCGAATTACCATGGTACCCCGGGGGGCTACCATCGCGGGGTCCTGACCAATTCAATCAACACGTCCACAACCGAGTGCAACCTAAATTTGACTAGCTCCACGTTCGCGAGCGAGGAGATCACCGCAGACCAGGGTTCCAGTGTCTTCGACGACCAACGAACTGACGTCTCTGAGGACTACGAGGACGAGACGATCCAGCCACCGGAAGAAGCCCTCGTGGACACCGGGCCGATCCCCGTGCCTCGTCTGTCACCGATTTCTGAATGCACCATCACCACGAGACCATCAAGTCCTGTGAGCCAGAACAATGAGAACTGTGACCTGGAGGGGGTTGATGCTATCGTGAAGTCGCCGCTCTGTGCGTCACCAGTAGTGGTGGAGTGTGGGGTGACGAGGATTCAGTCACCCCCACAACCCGTAGCTACGAGGGTGCTGGTTGAGAAACCCTCTGAAGATGTGGTCACCGAGGAAGCCTGCACTTCAATCTCCCCGGTTCCTTGGGAGGCAGAGAAAACGAGTTCACTGTCAGAACCTGTTGACTCATCTGTGGCTCTGCAATGCTTACAAGGCCATTGGCTACCTGTAGTCATCTCACAGCAACTCTTCGCGTAGGTCACATCTAACTAGCTTCTGGAAGTTGACCAAATTACAAAGTCTTCGATTGTGCTTCACCAAATCCCACAGAACACCTCAACTACCACCAATTTTATCCAACTACTTCTTCAAAAATATCTGCGCATAAGCACAATCTTTAAAATCTTTTCAAGGTCACTTCTTTGCAAGGTTTGGTAAATTTGCCGGATGGTTGAGCTAATCTGCTTTACCATGAGTTTTATTGATTAGTCGTCAGGCTCGCGCCTAAGACTTCACTCAAATGCAGATATGGGTTTAGCAGAAAATCAATATTTATTGATTTTTTGTTGGCTGTGTCGAGAAACCTACTGATTACTCGTGCCAAAAGGCGATTATTTTAAAGTATGCATTCAGCAGGATTTTCACTAATTATTTACGCTGTTGTTGAGGAATTTCGAAACTCAATTTCTTTGCACGGTTTTATAAAGATCCAGTCGCGAGGAGGTCAAAGTCGAACCGGCCAATGAAGGTTCTTCAGATCGAATTAAAGCCTGTTGGGTTATTCCTACTATAGCGGCAAAAACAGTCCTCCTTAATGATGGCTTCTTCGTAGCTGAGGTTGGCGGCCATCTTGTGTGCGAGGAGTGCACGATTAGTCCCCCACGGAGACCGCAGGAGGTCTCCGTGTGTGCCGAGGGTTGTGCTGTCGCATTCCACAGCCCCACAAGTGTCTTTATGCCCGCGGTGTCCCTCCAATGTGCTGAAGAAGTAAGCACCACAGATCGCTGGCTCCGAAAAAGGAAAAAGCGAGCCGTGCTCGGCGAAGAACCCACATCCACAGAGTGGGCCATCAAGCACACAAACCTCTCCACAGAAGGCCTGGGAGTGGTGCTGGTGCACACCGTGCCGAGGGTGTCGTCGAGCGAGACCATTCGTATCTCCTTGAACCAACGAGCTTGCAGTCCCACAGGGAGGACCACCATCGGTCTTTCGATGTCAACCGCCAATCAGAACAACGCTTCTCTGAAGATTTCGGGATTGCAAGAGGCAGACATTAGAATTGTCCTACGAAGGTACAGTCTGACTGAAAGCAAAGCGGAATAAGCAAACCCCGTTTAATTTCTTTTCGGTATCCCACATATTTAATAGCAAACACGGCCTTTTGCACCACCAACTAAACAAATTCTCACTTTGTAGGAACGTCTGAAGCACCCGCGTCCGAACAGGGGAATCGCGTCGGTCTTCGACCCCCGAACAATGGAACTTTCAGTTACTTTTAATTTCCATAGCCCTGAACCTCTAGCGGTCTCCCATTTGTGTACACGTGAACTTTCTAATACGTTAAATATCACCGTACTAGAACCCCAAGTTCGTCTCTTGCTTTACACCCAAGCACAGGCCACGCCGCGTGACGAACGTCCCAAAACCCAGAAAAAATAAGACCGTCAACAGCAATCATTACGCATGTCTATATGTACAGAAAACGGGTATAAAAGGGTATGTACACGTATGGGGGAAAAGCGCAAGAAGGCGCCGTCTACTTCTTGACGGACTTTTTGGGGGTCCTCTTGACAGCAGGCTTGACGGGTTTGGCGACTTTGGCCTTCTTGACAGCCGCGGAAGGCTTCTTCGATTTGGCGACTGCCTTGGGCTTTGTGGCGGCACCAACAGCCTTCTTAATCGACTTATCCTTCGTTGGCTTGGAAGCGACGACCGCCTTTTTCTTCGGGGTTGCAGTCTTCTTCACGTGTGCCGCCTTCGACTCCTTTTTGGGCTTCTTCGTCGCGATGGGCTTCTTTTCGACCTTCCGCGAGATCTTGAAGGAACCGTTGACACCGACGCCCTTGACACGAACCAGATTACCGGCGTCGGTGGCAGTTGAGAGCGCTCGACGGACGTTGGAGTCGACGACCTTCTCGTCGACCACGTAGTGGGCGTTGATGTACTTGATGATAGCCTGTCGGCTCGAACCACCTCTCTCCTTCAAGGCAGCGATGGCCTCGATAATCATCTTCGCGAAGGGCGGATGCGTAGCTGGAGCCTTGGGCACCTTTGCCTTCGATGGGGCAGCAGCAGTAGTAGCAGCAGCAGCGGCAACCATTGAAACTTGCGCAGCGAACAACCCGCAACACGGCGTTGCGCCGAATCACTAGCCTTAATATATATGCCGGTTGCTAGCTCGCATCGAAGCACACTCCACGCGCAAGCGCTAAAAAGGCATTGCGCGCATTTAGGACCTCAAATTTTCAGGGTTACCTCATAATTTTCTCAATTATTGGTGCACTCAAGTAAAATACCGAGTTTTTTAATTATAAAATAAATTTAAGAAACATTTCCACGTGCCTTCAGTGTAGGAAAGTTCAACTTCACTCTATAGTGTAGAAAATATAGCTTGTTGAATGCCGATATCACAGGGAAGAAATTTTACCGATAGGGCGAGATAATGGATTTAAAAAGAAACCAAACTAATTACGGGGAAATCTCCTACGGTTTCAATATTCTAAAGGGCATTTCTAGCAAACATTACAGAAGCTTAAGCTTCATCACTATCCAGTTACGCAAAAACGCTCTTTGAAATGAGGCATCTTGAGTAAATTATTACTATAAGTTCAGCCGTTGCATTTTTCAAGATAACTTTGCCAGGCAAATTTCACCTCGTTTGAGACAAAATCGAAGAAACTTTAGAGAAAAACTATGCAATGTAAGATGTAGTAAGTTTTATTTCAAAATTTTCGACTATTTCGCAAAAACTAGCAACATTTCTTGAGTGTAGTTTCAGCTGGCACATGATTGGCTCGTTGTGATTCATCGAAATTAATTCTTCAAAAACCTGAATCATTGACGATTTTTCGCCAAATTATGTTACTTTTAGCTTGCTTTCACTCTTCCCTACACATGAGGCCTATTTTCGCCTCTTATTAATCAATCAAAGCCTATATTTTTATCAGCGTGTCGTTTGGCGAATCGTAGAGCGTGGGAATTTCCTGTCCTGTTTTTCGTGGTTCCTCCGATACCTGGAAAACCGCAGAACAGGCTTGATCTTTGTCCAGTCTTTAACTGCGTTAAATAAATATGCGAATATTTCAAAATATGAGTTAGGTTAACACATCTCCTTCAAGTATGTACGCAGGCTGTTCACAGGTGCCCAATTAATGCACCTTTCCTTAAACGGTGGTGCTGCATCTATCTACTTTTGGGTCGATATTTCATTATAACCGCTATACTTCGACTCGAAATTGTCCGGGAATGTGCAAAATACCGTCGTGGCTGTGACTGCCGTTGGGACTAAGTGAATGGAACTGCCATCAGAGAAGTGTGAGGAACTAGGGACAGCGTCAAATGGTGATCCATGAGTCACCACTACGCTTGACCCCACAAATTCCCAACTCGATTAGCATTGGTCATGGCTATTTCCAATCGTGGTGCAAGAGTCATAATGCGAGCTGGATGTCGCTTGCGCTGACTGAATGAGAGTGGGGGTGTGTGTGTGTGTGAGGCCCAGACAGTACCAAACACCTCACTTTTAACATTTGACATTATTTAATGAAAACCCTGAATTCTATATCGTGCAAATTGCCAGCAATAAAAACCGCTTCACGAAACTCCTCTTCCCGAATGGTTTTGCCTCTTGGCTACCGCTAAAATGTCCTCTGGTTGTGTATGACGAAATCGCGGTGTGAGATCGACAAACAGTGGGGCCGTTGTTATCGTGGATACCGTTTATTTCAGCACACATGTTTTCGAATCGGAATGACGTGATTCGTGGACTTACGTCTCGATAAGATGAAGTCATGGAACTGGTGTGTTGAAAGCCTACATGCGGTCTTGCATTGCCGATGCTCTTAACTTCATCCTCTTTGCTCAAATCAAATTAAAATGTGAACTAAAGGAGAACATTTTTATTCAATTCATCTAGCTGTTGTGCACATTAAATGGATGGCTAGTTAAATCATCATTTCTGAGTGAAAATCCCATCTAACTCTAAACTCGCAACGTCCACTCAAATTTATTCGCTTAAATTTTTGAAAGGCGTTCCGTTTTTTCCCGGTATATTGAGGCAACTCATGAAGGCTTCCCAGAATACGAGAGGACTACATCCTGTGCGGAAGGTCTTACTGCACGGACCAAAGGATTGAGTTCAAGAAAGGGTCCAAAGCTAAAGTCAAGGTGGAACTTCAATAGATGCTCAGACGTGCCTACTTACATGGCTCATCGATCTGCGATCGATTAGTTTAGTAGTGTTGCAGTGAACAAGTGACGGTAGAGTCGTAATCAAGTGAACAGATCTCGGGTGAATAGACGCTACAACTCACGGTGTTAACTTGCGTGTCTTGGGGGATGTTTTTGTCCTCAACAGCAGCTAGTGGACTACAGTGGTGATGGATGGCAATTAATGCAACTCATTACACCCAATTCCAAAGTAAGGGCGTGTTTGGTAAACGGAATGTTTTTGCATCTGATGCAGCGAGGACGATTGCACACCCAATCCATACTCCATACCAAATATTTTATTCGCCAAATAAACTAATTGTGCGTTTTAAATACAAGTCAAAAGTCCACCTTTTTAGGAAGAATGAGTTGTGTTGGAGTAAAAAACGGCTGCACAATTTCCATCATTCTTTAAAACGGAATCACTTAAGTTTTGTGTTTGTTCTGCATATTCCCTATTTGGCCAAGGAAGAGGCGGTTTCAGTTCTTTAATCTGAAACGTTCTTTTCCTCAAAGGAAATTCTCCGTGGGGCCAAGAAGCTGGTAGTTTTCCGGTTACACTTCTGGGGAATATGATGGATGCGTTTGTACGTCGTCTTAGTTGATTTTGTGCCAATGTGATGCCGCATAATCATCATCATTATGGCAGGTGACACAATTTCGGGAGATTAGTGTTGATCTGGGAAGCTGTGTGCACTGATCTTCAGCAGCAGTAGTAGTTCCATCTGGATTAAGAACGTCGCAGTGAATAATTCCTTGCAAAACGCCCCACACGCAAAATCTGCTTGGTATAGCTATAATCATAACATTGTTGGCGCTCATGAAATCGTATTCACTACCTTTCTCCACTGATAGTTTGCCGACAGGTTATACCTGTTCCTAATCTGGTCATTAGTACACTGAAATTTGACCTAATTTTGGGTTCATTTTAACATTTAGCTTGTTCCAATCACCAAATTGCAAATGTTCCGACCTAAATTGCTAAGCGGTTGATTTAGGATCAACTTCCGACCCTTGTTTTGTTTGAATCTGCCTCATGGATTAAAATCACTGGGCCTAACTTTGCTCACGTCACGCTAACATGTTTTAATTTTCAGTAGTGAACTTGGATAGGCAAAAACTATTACTATTTTCGTCATTAGTGATAGTCCACCTTATTCACAATTTAGCCTATAAATTTAAATTGATCCACTCAGTTTCCTTAACAATGCGTGTTGTGGAATTTGGAGAAACTTTCATCACGTCGGGGTCACCAATTGTTGTGGGCACCAGCATGTGGTCTTGAACCACGCCGGGGTCACGGAATTAGCCCTGGTCCGATTACGTTTCCTTGATGCCCGCGATGAAGAAAAAGACCGGAGAGGACGTGAACACAACCGTTAATTTCAGGGCTCAACCGCTTTGGTGGCGTTGTGTCGTGGGTGGCATTTGCGCGTGGGTATTCATACCTCGGATGTGTGAGTCATACACGCGCTAATATCGAGACCTAGGTGTGAGGATAATCCAGCATAAATTTTCGTGTGAATGAGGAGGGAGTTGAGGATCCACTACATGCGCATTAAACCGGCTAATTGTCAGTTCGTGTCGGTTTGCGATAGTTACCCCTATAAGAACGTATCGTTTAGTAAAACTAGGTTCCACAATATCGATTAATTGTTGAATTAATGTTATCAGGGCCAGCAAAATGACTCAAAGTTATTTTGATCGCATAAATAGGGCAAAAATTTCCCAGAGATTAGCCCAATGCTATCAAAGGAAAGTTGTAAGCTCAAATGTCTGATGCGTTAGTTTATTTTCAAACGACATCCACCCAGTGAAGGTGACTTTGGTTTCAGCAGAACTCGACGTACGCAGTTAAATGTTTAGCTTTTGTGGAATCGTGCAAACAAGACCGTGTGAGAATTGTGCAATAAGCAGATTTCAAACGTGTCCCCATGGCAGAGAAAAGAGTCGTCAAATTGTTATTGTAGATAAGTATCTAACCCAGGAAATGGCTCCTTGTTTAAATCACTCAAAGATTCGATTTTTTTTATGAAGCTTGATTTATCGCCAATTCTTTCTCACAGAGAACAGCATTATTGCTCACTACATACTGGGATTTACTTACGCAATTCACTTCTCTATATAAGCTGAGAGCTGCTGAAATGAGTATAACGATTCATTTTCGAAAAATTGTTATTACCGTACATTTGTGAGACGAGAAATAATGCCTACACAATGTGGGGCTTACCATCCACGCATTCTTAATAATGATTTCAACCTTCAAAGGACGTGTTAAAAGAGATTTTAGGTATTTGCATTATTTTTTGCGGAACGTGAGGAAGCAAGAAATTTTACCTAGACTATAATCCGGCTCAAATCAGCAGTAAATGTGTGTATAAGAGTTTGAAAAGGCACAGTTTTCGAAGTCAGACATCCCTAAGACTATGCTTGCTAAGTGTAATGGATAAATTTGTATCTCGTACCAGAATTTTGAATAGACGCGTATTTAAATCGACCATCGCCATCTTATTGGTTCACACACATCATTCTGCATATTCAAATCAACCGCCGTCATCTTATTGGTCTACGCCCCATAGGTAGCTCCATACGCCTTCATCAGTGTCAAGGTCACCCAAGGCATTTATTATTTATTTATTTTAGTTTGCGCGGTTCTCTGAATGAAGTCTTGCATTGATCTCTGTTGTTTAACTTTGTGGTTAGAGTTGGTAAGGGACAATACTCGTTATCTGGTGAATTGTTGGAGTCCGCAGATTTCCGTCCAACGCAACAGTCGTCAAAACTGCTGGTTATTGGACAGCGCTTTTGTTAAATGTTCTGTAAATGTTCTGTTAAATGCCATCCGTTTTAAGTGGCATAAAATCGCTACTAGAGCCACAAATTTAGTTTTCATGTGAAAGATTTTACCTGATATATTTTATTTCATTATGTAACACACCAAATTACTGAAATAACCAAGGTAAAATAAGTGAAGTCTAATAGTACCAGTCACGCGATAGGTGGAAATTACTGAAGTTATGTTAATGGATTTTAAAAGTAATTTCTGAGAACAAATTCGATCCTTACCCTCCTTTTTAATGCAAATTTAATTAAAATGCAGCTCTTAAATGGACAAATTGAACTTATTGACCCTGGAATCAATTATTTTGTTTAAACTGGCCAATAAACTTTTCTACTCAACTACTTATTGTTTTATTATTTTGTCACAGCTAGGGGTTGGATTAAAGGCGTTAGGCAGCCTAATTTTTGGCTAATTTTGTGACGCTCAAAGTTGCGCAGTCGTGACAAAAATAATGTCAACTATTCGTCGATAGAAATCGGTGCTCCTTTGCTTTTTTGGAAATAAAACGAATGAAAAAACACCAACAATGCATAAATCTTCCACTGACTAAATAGTTAAGCTTCAAACTTCCCAACCTGGAGACTTCAGCAAGAGAGTAATTAACTTTATATATACTTTATCGACACAAGTACACCAACGAAACATCTTAGAAATCAATCAGGCGAAGTAGAACTTGAATTAACATTTCAGAGATATGTTTTCGAAATCGAAGCAGCAGACGCCTCGTCAATAGAGATGTGATCACCGTTCATAATGTATCTACGTGTAGCGGATTAACAGCGATCGCGCCTGAGTGAGTCCTGTTCACTGACCTGACGGTAACAATGACTCATCTCCTTTCCATTGGTTACTGTTATCAGATGCCTGCATCCGTTCACTCATCCACACACTAAGACACACCTGGCTGGCGTGACGCTAATAAACGGTCGTGTTCACTGTCGCCTCTTTTTCCACTCTACTCGGGTTGATACGGGCTGTTAACTAGAAGGTTATAAGGTAGTGCTAGACCACAAGCCACTACAAGCTGTTCTCAAGCTACCTTAAAGTAAAGCCGTTTTGCTCATAAATACAACGGAAACACTTGACTGCGTATTCTTCGAATTAACCTTGAGCATTAAGCGTGACTGCGCAGCCAACCTTTTAGTCCCAAAAGCGGAGTATGTACTAGTGTGTGCATTATCCAGCCACAGTGCAGACGCAAATTTCGTCTCAGGTGTGCTTTGGCATATTGAAGGGTTGAGCAGGTTTCGCAATCGAGACTTACAGACTACCTCGAAAAGCAAGTAAACTAAGAGGCAGCAAGAATTTCGAAAAAAATAGGTTGACATAAATTGCCAAAATCAAATCTCATCCAAGTCGGTGAATGGGAAGAAGTGTCGCGTGATGGCCCTACCACTGGTTGGTGCAAAACAGAGAAGAAGGTTCAGCAGTCTCCGAGCCAACCAAAGGGGCCACAAATCAATAAGTGCCGACTGTCCGCATCCCAAACTCCAAGGCTGCAACACAAATCCTGACAAGGACTCACACATTAGACACGGCTGGTGACGAGAACTGCCCAATGACCAGTATGCCTCGATTCGAGAGAACCAGGCCAGCCAATTGGACACGAAGGCGGCAAAAGTAAGGAATCGCAGATAACGTGGTTGAGGATAGACGTGCTCATCCACCTCTTCCTCCGCGTCCTCATCTTGACGAGGAATGGGAACGCGGTAGAAGGGGGAAATGGCTTCAATTGGGGTCATCCACAGAATACCGGTCAGGTGAGCCTTTGGACCACGGAGTGTCGCATCAGATTGAGCAGTGGTGACGGCGGTGACAAAGCCCGTCAAGACAACATTCGCATGTCAGGCAGCGCAATTTTGGAACATAAATGTTGAGTTAGTAGGACGCTAGATTTTCAAGTCACATTAAACATCAACGTAAACACAAGTACACCGCGTTACGGCAGTTGATCATAGATAAGAAGGTGGAAGTTTACCATGGGGTCAAAGAGAACAAGGTTCTTCACCTCACGGTGTGCAGAACAAAATCTACTGACATCTGACAGCAGTCGTCCGGCACTAACTCGCCTCTTTTATCCACTCTTCTAGGGTTGAAACGGGCTGTTAACTAGAAGGTTGTAAAGTAGTGCTAGACCACAAGCAAGACCACCGCATCAACAATATGCAAACGAGCATTGAGCTGCACTTTTTAAACACAAATCATTCCTGAGGTGATTGAACACTTACAACATCCATCCAATCAAATACGTGGAAGGCGCTTGGCGGAAATGCGAAGTAAATCACACTGACCTTGAAACCACCTAGCACATAAGCAAGGAACCGAGTCAAATAGCAGTCAAAGTTATTGATTTTGCATCCGTCTTCTTGTTTAAACCACTAACGACAGTTTTGGATTTACAGATTAAGGGGTGGATGCATGATGTTAAAGCATGTTTAGTCATTCAAGGAAGCAATTTTAAGCAGGCTGGAACCATTATCGCGACAGATCACAAGCCTTCAACAGCCTGTCAAGTCATTTATAGGTTTCAAAAAAAATCAACTGAGGTACGGGTGACTGCTGACTCAGGCATCCGAACTATTGGAACCATTTCAATACGGTTTAACGCAGGCTTCCTTGTTTTATTTGGTCTTCGAGTATAAAATACTGCCACATCTGTGTGAGAATTTACAGCGTTAATAATATTAAAAATTTTCATTAGTTTAGTCCACGCAATTACGAAGCGAGCAAAATTATGCCCACCAGGACCTAAGTCCCGGCTGTTGCACATTTTTATTGAATGGTTGGAGTGGTCCGTGGTGGTCAATTCAGGAACCCTTTAAACAACTCTGAGATTTTTTCAACCGGGTAACCTTGCAAATAGCTTGGAGGTGCGGTAGACTACTTCGTGCGAATGAGAATGCTGTCAGCTTTTCTTACAATTCCTTCCTAAACTTGTCAGTTTCGAAACTTAAAGCCCGAACAAAGGTTTGTTCATGTTAGCTACAAAACTGTTGAACTCCCAGGCTGTTATTTGATTTGTCTGTTCGGGTCAGGCCGTTTCCTAGGGTGAAGAAGACTGGTGCAACAGACACGCCTTTCCTGACCAATCACAAACCAGAACCACATGCCAGGAGCCGTTAATCCGAGTCCATCACGCTGACTACGCCGCTCTTTATATACTGCTCCTCATTCGTATCTTTCTGGTTGGCTGCTTATCTTCCTCGCATGCCATTGGAACACAGAGAGACAGAGGATTGGCTGAGGCCAGCGTGGTCCAATATGTCTGCGCCCCTATACGTCGCTACACAATTCAGATAAACGAAAAGGACATGTTAGGTGTAATACCATTCTTGTCCATTGATTGCCGAAATCGTGTGACCAATAGGGCAGTCTGTGATTAGCTTTACATCAAACATCCCCATTTTATCGCTAGTCTCTGTGCAGTGAGCCATTTTTGAAGTCAAATTGTTTGACGCAGGATGTAATTCTTATGACCAGTACTTGGTAAACAGGATTGACAAACTGTCTTCGTATAAGGGATTTGCATTTCTCAGTAAATTAAATGACAATTTACCACGACAACGAGGAGGTTTCGAGAATCGGTGGTCTCATTTCTACAAATGCCACCGAACTACACAGATCTCAGTGGTACTGAGGGTGTTAATTTGACAGATTCGCAAATTTTGGGCTAAGACAGTAAATTTGGATAACATGGCTTCTCCCTTTATTCACGAATTTAGGCCTACACCGTTTGACATCGTTTCAGTTGAAGCAAGGAATACTTGTAGTGGCCTGTGGTCTAAGCACTACCTTACAACCCTCTAGTTAACAGCCCGTAACAACCCGAGAAGAGTGGAAAAAGACAGGCGACAATGAACACGACCGTTTATTGGCGTCACGCCAGCCAAGTGACTGTCTTGGTGTGTGGATGAGTGAACGGATGACAGGCATCTGATCCAGTAACCTGTAGTGGGCCCCGGTACGGTTTTAGAAACCACACCGGGGCCGACAATCAACTAATTTATTGATGCAGCCGTGTGTGTGTACGAGATAACAAGTACGTTTATATAGCCTTGCTAAACGTCGATCCCTGAGCGAACATAGTTAGGTGAAGTTCATTCACGTAAATCAACTGAATCATGTTCGTTCGCGTGCTGCTCACCACAAACCAATGAAAACGGGATGAGTCACTGTCGCCATCAGGTCAATAACCAGGGTTCACTCAGGCGCGATCGCTGTTAATCCGCTACATACTCAGTTAAGCTGCCTGTGTTTTCGGACTTAATTTTAGCTGAATTAGCAAGGGAAACGCTGAATTCCTCATAAAACCTGAATATTCCAAGCCCATTCACTCGTTCTTCCCTAAAATTACCTAAATTGGTATCCATAGGTTAGCACAATACACTTCATCTACTGGCTATTCCTTAATAACTTTGATTCCGAGCAAGGAGCACACGTACATTTGGAATCGCATGTCCGCCTCGCTCAAATCTGACGCCCCCATAATAGCAGATTTAAGTATTCTAGTAATTCTGTATATGAATACATGTATATATAGGTATCATTCTAACAAGAGCATTAAGAAAGTTCGCAAACCAAGAGTGGAACTTAAAGCAAACAAGAAATCAGCGAGTGTTGTGTGAAACGAGAGACAGAGAGAGAGAGAGAACGGAGAGAAGGCGGGAGGCTGCAGCCTAGGCTAGGAAAGGAACGAAAGCACATCTGGGTGAATAAGCGGGCAGGCGCGGGACTCTGTGGACGAAAGCAGGAGGACGACCTCACGCGTCTCGAAATTGCGTTGCTCTCCACACCTCTCCGCGTCTCGTCTACGGTGTGACTGGGAGAATGAGGTCAGGTGGCATTGTGGTGGAACGCATTTAGTCTACAAGAACGAAAGCACACAATTAACGCGATTCCGTGGTATCCACAGCATCTCTAGCTTGGGTGCCCAAGAGGTGGATGCAGCTCAAATCTGCTCCTTTCTTGACATTCTAATCAACCAGGACTCAAACCCGAACCTCTTAGATGGCGATGATGATTGTGCTGGCAGCCGATGTGCTCACCTGTTTGGTCATTCATCTCAGCCTACCCATGTCGTTCCTATAAACTGACAAGTGTTGTGGAATAAATCTACAAGAAAACTCTTCAAAATGTAAACAATTATTTGCAATAAAGACAAGACATCACCCATTGGTATAAGCAATTTTGCTACATTTATTTGCGATTGGCCACATCTGGGCAACCAATAAATTGCATTCAATCAGTATTAGTAAATTCGACTTAAAGCAATAGCGATTTGGCAAAAATACCAATTCATGCACGAAATTCAACATTCTAGTGTTGGAATTTTCTGTGATCTGGTTCATTCACTACGTAGCTACCGGTAGGTACAGACATGCAGACGGGCATGAGAACGAAAGTGAATGAAATACCAGATAGTTTTTGTCGGTGTAAGCGCGTACCTGCATGCAGAGCTTGGAGGAGGGTTTGGAGAGAGGGAGGTTGGGGCGGAACCGATGTTGAGCCATCGACTAGCGCTGGGTTGGTGGGCGTTGGTCGGTTCCTCGAGCACAGCACATGCGAGTTCTCATGCCGGACCTAGATTTGGGGGGGGGTGTGGGGTGGGGAGGGGGTGGGGGGACCGGCTGGGCCTACGGAAGTGGGGATGTGTTCTAAGCTTTGACTTACTAGGACCACATGGGGTGACACAAGTCTGTTATCCTCACCTTGACGTCAAGCCATCCAACTCACAGGAAACCACCAATGCAGTGAGAAGATTGTGGACGCGTGGGCTCGCGTGTGTGTGTGCGTGTGTGTATCGGTGTGTGTTTGTTTTCGTGTGTGCTCAATCGATCGGAATCATCGCTGTCTCTGTTGCACGGGAATGTCCTGAGCTCGTTAAAAAGTGATTGAAATGCAAAAATATCGAAAGCAAACAAAACAAAACGGGGTTTAAATAAAAAGGAATCTTTGCTGAAAGTGGATAGTGGCGAGTGCCTGCTGAGAAGAAACGCCACTCGAAAAAAATGGAATTATAGGTGCGCTGGGCCGAAATACACGGAGCCGAAAGATGTCGGGGGTTTACTTAGGCTCAGGCGGAGGTAGGACGTCAGCTAAGTTGATCACCTCAAAGCCTTCTTCTGTTTCCTCTTCAACTGCACTGCCCAATTCCGTCGAAAGTGGTGAAGAAAAATCCTTCGGACTAAATGGACCAGCCATTGGGGTAACTGGCGATGCGATTTCGGGGATGTCTTTGGTGTCAGCTCGGTGGATGATAACAGGCGAAGAGGACTGACTCTTCAAGGGACTTTCTATTGTTGAGGTCTTTGGATTCAGGCTTCCTTTGAATTCATCTTCAGACACATCGAAAACTGTGGAACCAAGGTTTGAGTCTGTGGGAGAAATTGGCGCAAGCACTTGTCCCAGATTTAGAGACGTACTGCTTGCAGATACTGGAAATCGTCGAAATGATTCTTCTTCCGTATCAGCCTTCTTCAATAAAGCTTCGTCGTTACTTGTGGAACGAGGGATAGACATTTGCGGTAATTCAGTGGACATTATTAGTGGTGGAGCGGGGCTCGTGAACGGCAAAAATAGAGCCTCAGATTGCGAAGGAGGCTGCGTTGAGGCCCTGCTTCCGCTGGCCATCGCAGCGCCGCTGTCTTCCAACGAATCGGTCATTTGGCGACTGTAATTTAATTCGGACGATAAAGAGCTGTCACCATAGCGTGCTTGCTGGCTGTGCTGGTGGAGGGCTTCAAGTGAATCTGCAGAGGTCTCCATGAATTGCGGAAAGTCTTCACCTTCAGATGAATCTGCTTCACCGAGTGAATCGTGGTCTCTGCTGAAGCGCTGTTCAAGCACATCACGTGCACCACGAATGACATCACGGATTCGGTCGATTGGTAGAGATTCACGTTGACTAGAACTTCCGGCTAGTGAATCGTGGATGGAAGACTGGGCCAGGGAGTCTGCATCCCCAGCTACTTCAGAGGAATCTGTCTGTCTGGACGTCTCTAGACTCTGACACATTTGTTCAGCTAAAATGTCCTCGTAAATTGTATCAATGGGCTTGTGGGCTGGCGGCTGCTGGTGAACGGACTCTTGGCTGCTTGCACACGCCTGTTCTTCCCGAAGGAATTCAGAAAGGGAGGACTGAGAACTATCCTCTGCGATCTTTGTTCTTGATGGCAGGTCACCGCTACTCGCCGAAGAGGATTTAGCGGCGTCGGCTTCAATTCGTTCGAATTCAGAGAGAGAACTGCTTGCTTTGCTGCTTGAACTTTTACGCCTCTCAGAAGAGGTCTTTTGAATGGAGTCTGGTGATGAGTTGGCTATCATTTGCTGCTCTAATCGCTCAAATTCTATTAGCGAGGCTGACTGACTGTCAGCGGCTTCGGTTTTGGACAGAACCGGTTCACTTGCACCAGGATCACCTCTACTTGGGAAGCCATGAAGTCGACCTTTCTGTGGGAAGTAAATTCCACTTGAAGTGGAACGCTCCAGAATGCTCGGAGTTGATACGATTTCTGCGAGATGGCGACTGCCACATGGCTTATCGTCTGTGACTTGATCGGTTGACAAGGAAGCAGCCAGTGCACTAGGTCCTTGCGCTGAAACCTCGATACCTTCTCCAGGCAATCGTGGAAAACTGCCCGAAGCAGAGGTTTGTGTCTGTGCGAGAAGACTGGGATCGTTGTCCAGAGATGAAGGCATTGTCTCGAAAGTTTCATCGGCCTGGTCAAGAGACTTTAAAGCTTCACTGCCAACAAAAATCATAGTTGCTTGGCTTGATTCTTCTGTCGTGTCAGTTGCTGTTGCAGCGAAGGAGCTTGGCTGCGAAGACGCGCTGAGACGTGAGAGTGACTGGCGTTGTTGATGGTACTCAGAGACAGGTCGAGAGTATGACGAAGAGCAGGCGTCTTCATCTTCCTCGTCATCGTCATCCTCATGTGCTGGTACAAGCTTTAGGTCTGTTGGAAGCTCGTCATCATTCAGGGAGTCACCATCTTCATCAGGCGTCAAAGGACCCGCAACTTCTGGGATTGGAGGGAGTGAGTCATCAAGGTCCTCTACAGTGATCTTGGGACTCTCCTCTTCTTCTACTTCTTCTTCTTCCTCTCCTTCATCTTCCAGGATGACTTCTTCAGCAACTTGCCGTTCTAAGGCTTCGCCTTCATCAGGAACTCGACTGGGACCACGTTCGACATCAAACAAACGTGGCGTAGGCTGAACTGCTTGCTGGCTCCCCAAGCCGTAAAACTTTAGTCTTGAGAGAAGCTGTGATGAACGATCTAGTGTTGCTTGGGGTGCTGGCCGAGACATAGAGGGCATTTTTAGTCTGGACTGTAATCCGATGGATTTAATGTCGTAATCATCATCATCTTCATCATCATCATCTTCGTCGTCGCCCGATGCATATTCCGCAGCCAACGTAGCTCCGGCAGCGGCAGCAAGTTGAGGCAAGTAGTCCCATGTGACTTCTTTTTCCTTCTCGTGTGCCAAAATCTCGGCGTTATCAGCTACGCTAGAGCTCTGGAGAGTGTCTTCTTCGTTTCCAGTCGGAATCGTCTTGGTTTCTTCCTCGGAGCTTGATCTAGATAAAATCCACACGTCTAGTTCACTGTCCGTCTGTTCTTCAGGTGACTTAGTAGATGACGCAATTGCCGGCGAGGAAAGGCTCTCCACCGTCGGTGGGATATCGGATACAACGACTTCACTGCTGACAGGAGCGGAGGAGATCGGAACCGAAGAGAGCAGGTTCATCATCTCGCCTGAAGGCTCTGCAGCCTCTACGTCGCTCCGAATTTCCGGCGCTGAGGCCCCCAAAACAGCACCACAGATTTCAATTTCTTTTGATTTTGGTCTTGGGAGTGAGGCATAAGAAGGAATAAGATCGTTCACTTCTACAAATGGACCCTCTTTCCTATCTTGAATTACCGAATGCTGCGGTGCAATGCTCAAATTCGGTTCTGCGATCGGGACTATAAGCGAAATACTCGGGAAGGGAAGAGGACTTTCTTGGCCATTGTCAAAGAGAACAACCTCTTCCCAGATTACCTCCTGCGTGTCTGCGGCATAGAAAAGTCGTCGGGGAACTTTCGGTCGAATTTCAAGGGATGAATCTGAGAATCTAGACGAGCGTGGAGGAGTTTGGACGCTACCAAGTAGACTGCCCAAAGAACTGCTTGACAAATGCCGTTTAAGACATTTGTCGGCGGAAACAATCTCAGGAAGACTTGTTTTTCTTTGTGATGCAGAAAACGAATCAACGTGTTCAGACTCAGTAACGGCTACAAAGGTAGCTGACGTGAGATTCTGATCAACAGCTAGAGGCTTCGCGGACTCAGATGCAGTTGTAAGCGAGAACTTAATCGGCTTTTCACTTCCATTTTCATCAATGTAGACTGCGGCCTCATCAGTAGAAGCTTTGCAAACACCGGGTAGTGCAGAGAGGTGATCCCCGGTCTCAATTGCAATTGCTTGAGTAGGAGAAGGGCAATCTGGAAACGATTTCGCTTGGACTATCGTCTCACTGGTGCTTTCAGAAATTCCGACATGAATGTCTCTTGAAACATGACCACCGCGGGAAGAGCTCGCTTTCATGAGGGCATAGTCTATGGGTGTAGCCTGTTCGACTTGAATGTGATCGTTATGGGTGAGGCCAAGATGGAGTTCAACATAGTCAGTGGATTCTTCAGTAACGCAAACATCCATGCCAGTAGGGTGGGAAACAGGAACAAGCAGATCAGACAAAGGTGGAAGAGCAGGATGAACATCAGAATGCAGACGGTCAGAACCGGAAAGAGGAACACGAATTCCAGAAGGCAATGCAACACCAAAAGAATCAGATGAATCAAGACGCTCAGATTTCAAAACATCTTCGAAACCACAGGCAAGAGAAGGATATGCGCGATCAGAATTCAAAGATTCCGCCAGTTCAGAAACATAAGACAGATTTAATGGCTGAGCAACGTCGAATTCACAAGTTTCATCCACCAAAACATGAACAGGAAACGAAGAAAATTCAGAAATATCACTAGATTCAATAAAGGCAGTGGGAACTGCCTCCTCCAGCACCGCCTCTTCCGCCTTCTCCGTCTCCTCGCCTACAACAGGCTCCACCTCGGATGG